ACATATGGGTAAAATATCCAAAGTGCAAGAAAAATCAATGGATTTTAATGTAACAGAACAGGAAAAGTTCACTGATAGAACTTCATACTCCACAGTGCAACTAAATCTTTAAGAAACTACCATTAGTTGAATTTTGGCAAAGTATCAAAGAGGCAAAATTATATGAAAATACTTTTCTTTTCCAACCATGTATCTCATTGAAGCTTAATTTTCTATATACATTTCATCTAAATAACTTATGGCAAAAAATTGAATGCAGAAGCATGTATGAGACTCCAGCTGTCACCAATTAAGCTAGAAAAAACAATTTATAAAAATCTTTTTGTAAAACTTGTCACTCATCCGATAAGGAAAAAAAATACGTAATGACACCTGTTAAAGATGGTAAGGCAGACTTTTTTCAGCCATCGAGATAGGTACAGGGACCACTGCAACAAGACTTTACAGTGGGGGAGAGAATGGGCTCAAGTTCAAATACAGCATGGTAAGTGGGAACTTAGAGCCAAGGAGCAGGATAGGGGTCAGTGTATGAAAAATTACTAAGAGGAAACAAGAGGGGTTAGGGATTCTGGCTGAACTGACCTAACAATCTTTGCTGAAGACAGGCCAGAGTGATTAGAAAGCACCTGAAGGATGGTGGAGGATAAGGGAACTCTTGCTAAACTGACTTAGCAGGGCTCTTGCTAAAACTGGATTTTATAAAGGAAGTGCACAGATGGACCCAGGAAAAGGTTCAGGAGACTTACTAAAGTTTGGTCAAGAAGAGACTCTCACTTATCACATTTTTTGTTTTCATTTTGGAAAATAGTTATTTTTCGTAAGTATGTACATTATGAAATGAATTATAAATATTTGAAACATCTGTCTTAACTTCTAATATGTCAAATACTCAATAGATAAAATGCCCGTAATAGAGCATTTTGGATACTCAGTTGTTTTTTTTTTTTAAGATTTTATTTTTGTTTATTTGACAGAGAGAGACAGTGAGAGCAGGAACACAGCAGGGGGAGTGGGAGAGGAAGAAGTAGGCTTCCTGCTGAGCAGGGAGCCCGATGTGGGACTCAATCCCAGGACCCCGGGATCATGACCTGAGCCGAAGGCAGATGCTTAATGACTGAGCCAGTTTTAAGGAGTATACAGGAGTCCTGAGGTCAAAAAGTTTGAAAACTGCTGGTGTGGACCCACCACCATTTTATTATTTTCACAGATCATGAGTCAGGAATTTGGACAAGACACAAAGGGAACGAATGGACTGTCTCTGCTCTACAAAGACCAGGGCCTTACCTGGGAAAACTCACACAGCTCAAAATGACTCCAAAGACAAGGGCCTGGAGTCATCTGGAGACTCGCACATGCATCTGGTTGCGTTCCCTGAAATAGCTAGAGGGCTATTCCTCTAGCTATTGATGGAGTTTTATAGACCTAAAATGGACTTTTATAGACCTATTTCATCTTGCTCCACTGTTGAGAGGAGCATCTCCATGTAGCCCCTCCATGTCACAGCATAACTGCTGGTTTCCAAGGAAGCATACCAACTGGGAGTATCCCAACAGAGGAAGATGCCAAGATAACCAGGAGGGAATTTCATGGTCTCTTATGGCCTAGATTGGGAAATCACATGGCATCATTTATATTGTACTCCTCTAGGGAAAGGTCAAAAGTATGCCCAGATTCAAGGGGAGGGAACGGTGTCAAAGAATTTTGGGGCCAAGTTTTAAAATCATCAGTCTGCCACAAATTATTTATATACCTTCCACATACACAAATAGTCACTGCCTATTAAAACCATGCCAAAATCTTGTGCCCATAGGATCAGACTCAAGCTTTATGTCCAGAATCTTGACATCTAAATCAGGTCCAATCTGGGAAAGACTGCTTGGGTTTAGTTTGAGTATGTTACTCTTGAAGATTTGTGAAGTAAAGAGACAAGTTATTTACTCCCCCCACACACACCATATATATAATTGTGAGAGGAGGAAAGGATAATCAGAATAGACATTCATATTAAGAAAGGGGTGGGAAGTGCCTGGCTGGCTCAGTCACAAGAGCATGCGACTCTTTTCATCTCAGGGTTGTGAGTTCAAACCCCACACTGGGTGTAGAGATTACTAAAAAAAAAAAAAAACCTTAAAAAAATAAAATGCTGGCTGCTTATCATCAAAAAAGGAAGGAAGGAAGGAGTGGGAGGAATGGGAAGCCTACTATAGCCAATGATCCCTAGCAATTCTGAAAGACAGGAACATCTTGTCTATTCCTTTCTTAAGGAGCAGTACTGCATCATAGGAATGAGTCTCTGTGGAGTTCTGCTACTTGAATCATACTTGCTTTCCCATAGGACCATATTTTTAATGGAGTTTTATAGACCTATTTCATCTTGCTCCCTGCCCAAAGTTTTTGGATTCAAAGGTCTCTATTCACTTTGACTTTAAAAAACAAAACAAAACAAAAGTTTTAGGTTCACAATGAAACTGAGCAAGGTACAGAGATTTCCCATATACTCCTGCCCCCACAATGGATAACCTCCACCATTACTAACATTTCACACCAGAGTGGTAAATTTGTTACAGCTGACGAACCAACATTGACATATCATCACCATAGTTCCTTAGGGTTCACTTTTTGTGTTGTGCATTCTAAGGTCTGGACAAATACAGAATGATACATATTCATCATTATAGCATCATACAAGGTATTTCACTGCCTTCAAAATCCCTTGTGCTTTGCCTATTCATACCCCAAGCTGCCCCTCCCAGTGGGTTGCAACAACCACTGATCTCCATTGTTTTGCCTTTTCCATAATGTCATAAGAATTGGAATCATACAGTATCTTAACACTTCCAGATTGACTTCTTTCATTTAGTAATATGCATTTAAGGTGCTTCCAGGTCTTTTTAAGGCCTGATAGTTCATTCCTTTTAAGTGCTGGATATTCCATTGTCTGGATGCACCAGTTTATTTATTCGTATACCTACTGAAGGCATTCATTCATGTATTGAAGTTTTGGCAATTCGGAGTAAAACTGCTATAAACATTCATGTGCAAACAAACAAAACAACTCTGAAACACCATGCACATGTTGGTTTTTGAATGAACATAAGTTTTCAACTTCTTTGGGTAAATACCAAGGACCCTGGATACTGGATCATTTGGTAAGAGTACATTTAGTTTTACCACCAAACTACTCCAAGGCAGCTGTACAATTTTGTTTTCCCACCAGCAAAGAAGCATTCGGTGCTGTTAGTGTTCCAGATTTTGGCCATTCTCATAGATGTGTAGTGGTATCTCATTTTAATTTGTATTTTTCTGATGACATGATGTAGAGCATCTTTTCATAAATGCTTATTTGCCATCTGTACATCTTCTGTTAAGTGCCTCTTAAGGTCTTTGGCCCATTTTTGATAGGCTATTTCTTACTGTTGAGTTTTAGGAGTTCCTTGCATATTTTGGATAACGGTCCTTTATCCAAATGTGTCTTATGCAAATATTTTCTCCCAACTTGTGTCTTCTCACTCGCTTGACAAGGTCTTTCACAGAGCCTAAGTTTTTAATTTTAATGAAGTCCAATATATCAATTATTTCTTTTACGGATCAAGACTTCAGTTTTATATTTAAAAAGGTATTGCTACATCCAAGGACATTTATGTTTTTTCCTATGTTACCTTCTAGGAGTTTACAGTTGTGTATTTTCCACTTAGGTTTACAATGCATTTTGAGTTAATTTTTGTGAAGAGTGTTCAGTGTCTAGATTCATTCTTTTGCATGTGGATGTCTAATTGTTCCAGCATCATTTGTTGGAAAGAATTTTCTTCACTCCCACTGCCTTTGCTCCTTTGTCAAAAATCAGCTGACTATTTGAGTGGGCCTATTTCTCAGCAACCTGTTCTGTTCCATCAATCTGTCTATTCTCTTACCACCACCAGCTGTCTTAATGCAGCTTTATATTAAGTCTTGAAGCCAGGTAGTTTCAGTCCTCCAACATTGTTCTTCTCCTTCAATATTGTGTTGTCTATTCTGGGTCTTTCGCATCTCCATATAAACATTAGAATCAGTCTGTCAATATCCACAAAATAAGTTGCTGGAATTTTGATTGGATTGAATCTATTAGTCAAGTTGGGAAGAACTAACATCTTGACAATACAGAGTCTATCCATGAACATTAAATATCTCTCCATTTATTTAGTTCTTTGATTTCATTCATCAGAGTTTTGTAATTTTCCCCATATAGACTTTGCACATATTTTGTTGTGCTAATATAAATAGTACTGTTTGCAGTTTCAAATTCTATTTGTTCATTGCTAGTGTACAGGAAAACAATCAATGATTTCATGGATGTGTGTATGCATCAAAACGTAGGTCATACACTTAAAATATGTATAGTTTATTGCATGGCAATTATACCTCAAAAAAATCTGTTCATTAAGAAAACCAAACTCAATAACAAACCAAAGACTCTAATAAGAAAAAAAGATATTTGAACATTCATTTCACCGAAGATAAATGGATAACAAGTATGTGAAAAGATGTTCAACATCATTGGTCTTTAAAACTATTGGTCTACTTTGAGAAAAGACACACAGAGACAACTCATTTAAATAAAAATGGTTTTCTTTTACAGTATCAACTTTTTTGTATGCAGGAAGTGAAGATTTGTACTCTAAAACTTTCCCAAATTTTTTACACTTTTAGGCTTTATTCAAAAATCTTTTGTAACAAAACAAAAAACCTTTTGTAACAAAGGTTTTTCATTTAAAAAACCCTTTTAGAACTTCACAATTTTTATTAAAAAAAATGTAAGCTATTTACTGAAAGCACTGTTTTTACATTCACACAGAATCTCTCCAATGTGATTTATTACATGTAACATAAATTAACATAGTCTTTTCCACCTTCTCTAGATTTATAATATACAGTTCCTCTCCAGTGTGAATTATGTTTTCTAATAACAAAGAATAATCAAAGGCTTTCCTATATCCCTTTCACTCATGGGATCTCTCCTAATGTGTGCTCTCATGTTTTCCCAAAGTGGGGGATAAGAATTAAAAAAAAATCCTACACTTTTTACATTTATAAGATTTTTCATACCTGTGAAATCAGAGCTGAATAGTGAAGTATAAGGCAGAGCTAAAGGCTTCCTACATTCCTCATTAATAAGGTTACCTTCACTATGAATTAGTGTTTTCTAAGAGAAAGTATTAAAGGCTTTCCCATATTCTTTGCAAGCATAAGCTTCTCTCAAGAGTGAAATCTTATACATTCTGTAAGGCATGAAGTAGTAGTAAAGGTTTTCCCACATTCCTCATCTATATATGGCTTTTCCCCACTGTGAGTTCTTAAATGTTGAATAAAGTATGTGGACTGAGGGACACCTGGGTGGCTCAGTCAGCTAAGTGTCTGCCTTCAGCTCAGGTCATGATCCCAGGGTTCTGGGATCGAGTCCTGCATCCGGCTCCTTGCTCATCAGGGAGCCTGCTTCTCCCTCTGCCTGCTACTCCCCCTGCTTGTGCTCTAACAAATAATAAATAAAATCTTAAAAAAAAAAAAAAAAAAGGTATGTGGACCGAGTAAAGGCTTTCCCACAGTCCTTACATTCAAAAGGTCATCCACCAGTGTGAATTCTCATGTGTACTGTAAGGCCTGATGAAATAGTGAAGGCTCTCCCACCCTTTTTACATTTACATGGCTTCTCTCCAGTATGTTATGTTGACTAAAGTGCAAAGAATACCTAAATGACTTCCCATACTCCTTACATTCAAAAGTTCTATACTGTGAATTCTTAAAGGCTTTCTCACACTGCTTACAATTATAGGCTTTTACTCAAGGGAGTTTGCATGTGACCTTTAAAGCAAGATGAGTTACTAAAGGCTTTCCCATATTCCTTACATTCATAAGGCTTCTCTCCAGTGTGAGTTCATGTTTTATAAGACCTGAAGAATTGGTGAAGGTTTTCTCACATTTACTACACTCATATGGTTCTTCTCCAGTGTGAACTCACATGTGAATATTAAGTTCTGGGAAACAAGTAAACTCTTTACTACACTCCTTGCAAACACAGTGTGTCTCTCTCATATGAAATCGTATACATTTAGCAAGATTTGGGGAACAAGGAAAGGCTTTCTCAAATTTCTTACATTCCATAGGCATCAGTTCACTTTGAGTTCTTAAATGATGAATAAGACAAGAAGATCAAATAAAGGTTTTCCCACATTCTTTAGATTTGTAGGACTTTTTTCTATTGTTCATTTGCATATACTCAAAAAGGCCTGTAGAATGAGAAAAAGCTTTCCTACATTCCTTAAAGGTATGTGGCCTTTCTCCACTATGAATTCTTACACATTCTCTAAGGTGTAAGAAGAAGGAATGCCTTTCCCACAGTCCGTGCATTTATAGCGTTTCTTTCCAGTGTAAGTTTTCTCACGAACAGATGTGGATTTTGGCTAAAAACTGTTTCACACTGATTACACTTAGGAGGCTTTTCTCCATCATGGGTTTTGTTGTATAGATTAAGGGCAGAGTTCTTTGTGAAGGCTTTTACACACTGGTTGCACTCACAAGTTTTCTTTCTAATGTGAGTAATCTGTAAATCTTAAAGCAGGAGTGTTCACTCAAGGCTTCTTCCCAATGGTTAAAATTAAACAATTCCTCTCCAGTATGGCTTCTTTCCTGTTGATGAAGAGATTATGATGACTTACAAAAGTTTTTCAGCTTTACTACATTCAGAGATCCTCCCCTCTGCCTTGAACTCTGTTCTACTACACAGGAAACAAATCAGTATGACTGAAGTTTTTTGTTTTTTCTTCCATTTTCACTGCATGCAATGCATGGTTCCAGACCTGAGTGCTTTCAAGCAGAATGAAGTGACCATTCTGCTAAAAAGTTCTGCTGTAGTCTTCTTTACTTTCACAGGGACTTTTACAGAGTTTAGTTGATAATTGATTGAGATGAAATTACTTATCCAAAACTGTATCTAAATTACGTATATGGAAATACTGAGTGAACACTGTGTGAATATATCTCGGGGAGTATTTGAAGGGTTTGTCAAATTCATAATGCTCAGAGACTCTGTGAGAAACAGTTTCGTTTGGTATGAATAACACTAGCCCCAAATGTCTGTTATGGTTATCATGTTGCTTTTCTATCTTATGGAATTTCCAATCTTCCACTGGTGTGGAAGGCAAGGAATTACACACTGAGAGTCTTACCATTTCTACCACATTGGGTGTTTTCCCCTGCAAAATATTCTGCTGAGGTGCTGACCATTTGGTATTAAGACAAATCTCCCAATCTGAAATAAGATTAAAAAACACATTAAGGTCTTGGAGAAATAAATGATGGAAGGAAAGTGTTAAAAATAAAGGCTGATGTCTATTTACTTTCAAAGACTGACTTAAAATATAAAAAGAAATGAATACACAGAGATTGAGAAATCTGACTATATTAAGAGTTTGGCAATGATAAGGTGCTGGTCAAGTTGGTAGGTGATTTCCTAAGAAATGATTCTATAAATGTTGAGACTGATGGTGAACAGAAAGCAGCATAACCAGGAAAGCAAAGATGAAAGAAAATGAATAAAGAGCTAAATGCAAAATTTAAAGAAGAAATAGATCTTACTGTCAGGCCAAAGAAAGTTTCAGAAAAGTGGATGAAAGTTAAAGAGAAGTCTAAAGTACCCAAGGAACCACAGAAACCAAAGGCACCAGCATTCTCAGGAAAAATCCATCTTCAAAAGCTTCCTGTTTAACATTTCCAAACAGACTGCAGTTCTCATAGATTCCTGCCGTTTTTCATAAAGAAATCACCTTTCCCTTTTCCCTTACTTTGCAAACCCTTCCCACTATCCTCCACTCTCCTCTACCTGAAAGATGAGACCTGGTCTGCCCAGCTGGTACCTGGCTCTCAGAGAAGGAAACTTGATACAAGAACACGTAAGGGATGACAAATAATTCCATAAATCAGGACCAAGATTCTGCTCTCCAGGGACACCAAATACTGTCAGGTATAACTTGAGAAACAATAAAATGTTCATGACAACTTTATCAAACCAATAAACTTTGTTTTTCAGACCAATAAACTTTCAAATGAAACTAAGATGCAAAACACATACTCTCTCATTGTTCACCAAAAGGGGTGCTGATCTTTCCCCTGAAACCCCGGCTCAAACTTGTATTTTGAAACATTTTTGAAGTCCTAAGCTTTTCAATCCATAGAGAAAATAAAACCAGAACAACAAACAGATCTTCATTTTCAAGAGGAAGCCACTTCAAGATAAGATCTACAAGAACAGAAACAATGCCTGCTCTTTTTGCCATTGCATTGCCCTTAGTCAGCACAGAGTCTAGAATACAGTCATTTAAGAAAGATTTGTTCCAGAAAAAGCTAAATGAAGACATGGCACAAACCTTACCTATTGCAGCCAGACTCTTGTAGTTCTCCAGCATCACATCTCTGCACAGCCTTCTCTGAGTTTGATCCAGCAAAATCCACTCCTCCTGGGTGAATTCCACAGCTACATCCTCAAAGGTCACTGGGTCCTAAACCATCACAAACATCCCAGCATCAGGCAATTGCCATCTAAACCTGTGTTCACTGGAGAAAGAGAATGGGAGACCCAAAGCTTAGATAGTGTTCCATGTTCTCCCATCATCTCTCCCAGGGCTTGATGGTCCTCATATCCATTCTCCTCTCTATCTGGACATACTCACTGGTGACCTCATCCAGTCATATAGCTTTAAGAGCACCTCTTTTACCCAACTGAATGTATCTCACCACAGCTACATTGTACACTTTTCTAGTCTTATTCTTCTCTATTGACAGGACTTACCATAGTCTGAACACATTACAGACACAATAAATGCTGGCGAATAAGTGAATCATTCCTCCAGCGATAGCACAAATTCTGAGAAACACATGTCCACTCCCTCACAGTGTATCATAGCACACTAAGAGCACACAATCAGCACAGATGAGAGTGGACTGAATTAGTAAATACTGGGATAATAATTACCATTTCCCTATGTCATCTGTCAACCACATAAAAAATCCTGAAACCTGAGGAAATTTATCTGGGTACTCAGTCCCTAGGCAGGCCCTATATACAGAAAGAATCTCTGTTCCACTAGAAAACATGTCTACCTGTTAGGAAGAAGCATGTACTTTTATAAAAGAATAAATTTCCTACTTACCTGAGAATAATTTGTCAGACACCTGGTCACTAGCCTTTCCTCTTCTGACTTCTTCTCACAAAGACAGAAAAAAAAGGTGACCTTGGGAAGAAGAAATAAAACCTGAGAACCCAAACTGCCCAAAATTCCCACTCAGGATAGAAGCTACTCCACACTAATTCTAAATTGACACATCTGCTGTTGCCATAAAATACCCAAGCAGACTACCTCATCCTCATCTGAAATCAGAAGGGTTTTGAGCTTTGGGAGGAAAAATTCCATTTTACGGAAAAAGAAATTTAAAGTCCAGAGAGGGAAAGTTGTTGTTTTCTTTGGCCAACAATAATGAATCTCATCATGTGATTAAGCAGACTCTCTCCCACAAAAATACCCATCCTCACCCCTCCTTCCCAAATCCCAAGATGTAGACATAAGAATGTTCTTATCTACTTAAGCACCCTCCTAGACAGTACAGAAACAGGTCTGCTTAGACACTAACCACAAGACAGGCTGTTCACACGCCAGGTAAAACAGTCTCTGACAGGAGCATCAACAAGGACCTACCACAAGAGAAAAGATCAATGGCTGGCATCCTGTGGGTATGACAGTAAAACCTTCCTCGTTCCCAAAGTCCTTCAAGACAGTGTCTGAATTTAGTGGAGATAGGTCAATATCAATTCCTCTTGATTAAGTAGCAGTGGAGGCTTGCCACAAACCATCAGTCTTTAAGCAACAGGTAGTACTCAGCTGTCATGAAGCATCATTCATTAGTCAGCTCTCTGTAGAAGATGAAGTTACATTACATGAAAGCCATTAAAAATTGTAGAGTATACCACATGAATATAAATAAGAACCATCATTTACTGAGTACCTATTATGTGCCAGAAGCAGTGGTAGCTCATATGATTATCAACATGGTTATTATTACTGTCATTCCATAGCTGAGGTGATCTGCATTGAGACAGAAGCAGTCACTGGCCCAAAATCACCAATTAGGAAGAGCCCAGAGTCTGAATACAGGTTACTCTAGCTCAAAAGCCTGAACTAAGGTTATTGTTATTTGCCAGCATACCTGGACAACGATTATAAAATGGTGTGCAAGAAATAATTAATTCAGCAGGTCTGGGTTGCTCAAATCCTGCACTTTCCTGAGAAAAGCCCGTCTTCAGATCTACTCTTGGCGGGACTTGTGGGAGACAACCTGAGTCCATGAAATACCCTGCCTGGTAATGTCTGAAGCCTTGGGCCACACAGTTACCACTTGGACCAGATAGTCTATGCTAACAATGTGATTTATGGTGAACATCTGTTTTTATATGCCTGAGTCTTTGGGCAATGTTCTAACAGTTTGAACTCAGGCTGGAGCCTAAGTGGCTGAAGTCAGTCATGCAGGTGGTGCATGTCTATGGGACTGTCCCACAATGAAAACCTGGACACCAAAGCTCAGGGACTACAGACCGAATGTTTGTACCTCCCTGCCTCTTCATACATTCTCACCTAATCCCCAGTGTGATGGTTTCTGGAGATGGGGCCTTTGAGAGGTAATTATGGGATTACTGCCTTTATAAGAGACCCCAGAGAGCTACCTTGCCCCTTCTGCCATGTGGTAACACAGTGAGAAGACTGCCTTCCATTAACCAGTAAGTAGGTCCTCACCTGATACCGTATCTGCTGGCATTTTGATCTTGATTTTCCCAGCCTCCAGAACGGTGAGAAATTTCTGTTGTTTATAAGCCACCCAATCTATAATATTTTTGTTACAGCAGTCCAATTGAATAATGTAATGTCCCGGGTGAGATTCCTTGGTTGGCAATATTTCACATGCAATGTTACACATTATTACTAGGAATATTAAGTAATGCCCATTTGACTGCACTGGGAAAAGACACTTGGATGCTTGTGCCTGGTTTGTTCTGGAATTAATCCCATGTGTCTTATCCCTTTGCTGATTCTGATCTGTATTCTATAAACTATAATGGTGGGTTTACCAGCATGAGTCTTATGAGTCCTACTGCATTGCTGAGCATGACGGTGGTCTTGAGGATCCCCAGCACAAATGGTTTATTTAATTCCGACATCTTTGAGCTCCTCCAGCTGGCAAAACCACATAGGCCTAGCTGCCTTCCTTCAAGTCCTTATATCAGCTTTTGCCTTCATTCACCATGCAAATTTTTACGAAGGGCCTTCCCTTTGCTACATAATACACTGGGCACTGAGAAGAGCACAGTGTAATTAACAGAAACTGCCCCATACCTTAGATTTTTCAAATTCCAAAGGGCTAAGCAAATACTAAACAATAAATCTGTAATCTATTAGTTGGTGTTAAGTGCTAGGGAAAAAATATGAACAGATAAGGAATATTATCCTCTGCCTTCCCCAACACACACACACATATACCCAAGGATTTTTCTTAGCAAACTCAGAACTAGCTCTGCAAATGATAAAGACAGAATACAAAAACAACCATTTCAGAAGGCTCTTGAAAAACTGGCATCTGACTTGCCTAAAAAGTGATATTCAACTTTTGATCCAAAGCACTAGAACAAGTCCATGGTAAAATAAACTCAGAATACATTTCAAATACTGCTCTACTTCAATGGCTTATCAGTTTAGAAACACTCACGTAAGAGACCTGACCAATCCCCTAAGTCTTACCAGAGGGTATAAAATGTTGAGTAGGTGGAATGCTAAATCAGACTTTGCCCAAAGTTTATCTACTTTTTTTCTAAAAAAAACTCTTAGTTCTTTTTTTCATTAAATCTGCCTTTAAAAAATTCCTTCCTTACTTATGCTTTTATCTTTTTAATTTATGCTTTATGTTCATTTTGTTGGTCTTTTCAAATACCTGGAAATTACAGTTAATTTTTCAAACATTTTATTAAATTACACAAACAAGTGTAGAATTACAAGTATACAGTACACTATCAAGAAATTCTCCACCCTGAAGCACTCATATGCCTCAGATATTACTCCTTTCTCTTCTCCAAATAGAAGCACTATTCTGACTTCTAACACTGTAATTTTGCCTTTTTTTGAACTTCATATAAAATCATACGATATGCAGGGCACCTGGGTGGCTCAGTTGTTAGGCGTCTGCCTTCGGCTCGGGTCATGATCCCAGGATCCTGGGATCGAGCCCCGCATCGGGCTCCCTGCTCGGTGGGAAGCCTGCTTCTCCCACTCCCCCTGTTTGTGTTCCCTCTCTCATTGTGTGTCTCTCTGTCAAATAAATACGTAAATAAATAAAATCTTAAAAAAAAAAATCATACGATATGCATTAGTGTCTAGTGTCTTCCATTCAACATCCTACTCAACATGCTTCTCCCTCTGCCCCTCCTCGCTTGTGTTCTCTCTCTCAAATAAATAAGTCTTAAAAAAAAAAAGTACAAAGTGAACTGGGAATTTATTTTAAAGACTAATAGGATTTAAAGACTAAAAGGATTCATGCTGAAGGGACAGAGGATTCAAAAAGACTACCCTTGAGCAAATTTGGGACAGTTTGAGCATCAAACAATAGTGAATGAAAGAAAAGTCCAAGAATACATTGTGATACTCCAAAAAAAATAGTAGAGGACAGGGGAGGTGGGGAAAGAAAGCTGCATAGCTAAAGAATGGAGGAGGAATGGCAGGAAAAACACCATTTTGTAACACACCCCCCATGTAAAAATAGACTGAAGCAAAGACTGACAAGTGATGTGAAACCCTTGGATGAAAGGCTGTTAGGAGGGGCGCCTGGGGGTTCAGTCGTTAAGCGCCTGTCTTTGGCTCAGGTTGTGACCCCAGGGTCCTAGGATCCAGCCCCGCATTGGGCTCCGGGCTCCCTGCTCCGCGGGGAGCCTGCTTCTCCCTCTCCCACTCCCCTTGCTTGTGTTCCCTCTCTCGCTGTGTCTCTGTCAAATAAATAAAATCTTAAAAAAAAAAAAAAGGCTGTTAGGAAATAGATTCCGCTGTTGCCAAGTATCACCCAAGGATTACCTCAAAAATATGACTATGAGAGAAGTGCACCTTGACTAAATGCTTCTCATTCCTAACAATGGGACAACTTGCACTTACCTGCTTCCTGATACAATACTAAGTATACAGAAACGTTCAAGTGTCTAAATTTGCAGTCTAACCAGGCAAGCACTGGCTGGTTCTTTGGGTACCGTGAACATGAAATGTGGCCAGTGTGACTGAGGGACTAAATTCTTAATTTTATTTACTTTCAATTAATTAGAATTTAGAAATAAAATTGATTCAGTTACTAAAAAACTTTTCAGTATGTTTGAACAATCTGGGTTTGGAGATCCTTTTCTACAGCAAAACAGTAAGAGCTAAATACAGATCAAGAATTTCCAACGAAAACTCAGCATCCACACTGAGATCCAGTGTACACACTGGGTTCCAGCAACTTATCACAAAAGGAAAGAAATGTAAAATTTATCATTAATAATTCTCTATTAACTACATTAGTCATTAATTTCAATAATTTATACTGGTAACTGGGTAAGTTGCATTAAGTAAGACACACTAAAAATTTCACAGGTTAAAATTTTTACTTTTTTTAAGATTTTATTTATTTATTTGACAGAGAGAGAGAGATCACAAGTAGGCAGACAGGCAGGCAGAGGGACAGGGAGAAGCAGGCTCCCGCTGAGCAGGGAGCCCGATGCGGGGCTCGATTCCAGGACCCTGGGATCATGACCTGAGCCGAAGGCAGACGCTTAACGACTGAGCCACCTAGGCGCCCCTCAGGTTAAAATTTTTATTTGGTTACTAAAAATTATAAGAAATTACATCTGTACCTCACAGTATATACGTATAGTACTGCTCTAGACCCAAGTCTACTCTACAAGAAATAGACAATTAAATGAAATACTAGGAAGGGACGCCTGGGTGGCTCAGTCCATTAAGCCTCTGCCTTCCGCACAGGTCATGATCCCAGAGTCCGGGGATGGACTCCTACATCAGGCTCCTTGCTCAGCAGGGAGCCTGCTTCTCCCTCTGCCTGCCGCTCCCCCTGCTTGTGCGCTCTCTCTGACAAATAAATAAAATGAAATCATAGGAAAACACCATCATATTGGAATGCCAACATTTTACAGTAAAATTCTCCTGGAACGTTCAAGAACCAAAACTATTTTTTTTGAATGCAGGCAAATATTTTAGGTAAAAGGGATCAGATAGCTAAAACAAAATGCAATATGCAAATCCTGTTCGGATCCTAGCTCCCAAAAAAATCCCGACAACTCTAATAGATGCTTTCGGAAAAGTGGAGAAATTCTACTTTCTGGAGTTCTGTTTTTAGTAGAAGATTGTCCTGATGCATGCTTACCATTAAGGGGTGAAGTGAATGTCTGCAATTTATCATTAATTGGTTCATCCTAACAATACATATGACGAGACAAAATCTTAATTAGTGAACGTGGATGAAGGTTCCACGGATGCTCGTTTTACTGCCGCTGCTTATCTTAAGGACCAATTTCCAGATCAATACCCGAAAGAAAAACCCACCTGTCCAAACTCATGTTACTTTAGGTCAATTCAATTCCAGCTAACGGCAACGGGCCAGCCTCGTCCTTCCCCTCAGAAACTCCTACACTAGAAGCTCCGGGCGTTGGCAGGGCTCTGCCGCGCTAGGTTTTGTACTTCGGCGAATGCATTCACTCCTGCATTTATCTGTCACACACACGTGCTCCCTAAGAACCTGCAAAGGTCCCTCTCTCCACCGGAGAACTTACCGAATTTCAATAACCGACACCCACAAGTGCACCGGGCGCCCGCCCGCAGGAAACACAACCGCCAGGCTGCCGGGGACGGGGGTCGCTGGAGCCGGAATCACCGCGACCAGAAAAGGCCTGGCCGGCACGCCTCTCCCCGGGGCTACCGTCGCCGCCCCGGGGACCCAGCCGGCCCAGGCTCTTGGAAGAAGGTAACTTCAACCCTGCGCCTCCCCCTCGGGGTCCTTCCTTCCCGCGTAGGCGCTCCAAGCCCGGCAGCTGAGACTGGGAGACCTCCCCTCAGACGCAGGAGTGGCGCGCGGCCAAGATGGCCGTCGCCCTGCGCATGCGCTTTTCAGGTCTCCGCGAACGGCGCAAGGGGCGGGGCCTCTCCGGAAGGGAGCGCCGCACAGACGGCTGTTGTGCCAACCAACTGGCGGAGGAGGGATCCCGTTTTCGTCCCGCGGGAAGGAAGCGGGCCGTTGGGTCCGAAGCGGCTTATTTTCCTCCCCAGCCCGTGCTCTTACATGGCTTAACTGAATAAGATTTGCTTTCAAATCTTGGTGCATACGTGAACGCATCATACTCTTCATTGCATAGCTTGTTGCACGTTCCCGGTGGAGATAATGAATACAGTCGCTGCATCGCTGCACTCGAGCTTTTCCTGTGGCCGCATAAAGTCACCATTCATGATTCAGTTTTTTCAATATAGTTCAGCCTCCTGTCTGTGATACCCCTTAACCTGGGAAGGGAGCTGCAAACTGCACCTGAGGCAAGAGGGAGAAAAACGCTACAACAGCACCTCAGTCCACTACGCTGGAGGTGAAGAGGTGACCCTAAGTTTAAATAAGATGGTTATATAAGCGGTGCCTGGGTGACTCCGTGGTTAAGCGTCGGCCTTCGGCGCAGATCATGATCTCAGGGTCTTGGGATCCAGCCACGCGTAGGGCTCCCTGCTCCGCGGGAAGCATGCTTCTACCTCTCCCACTCCCCCTGCTTGTGTTCCCTCTCTCGCTGTGTCTCTCTGTCAAATAAGTAAAAATCTTTAAAAAAAAAAAAAAAAAAGATGGTTTGTCTAGATGTGCGGCTGAGGCTACTGTCTTCTTTATTGGGTTAGGAGAGCAACTGTTATGCCTAATGGGCCTCTGATTTGCATTATGATTTTGAGTTAAAAGTCTAAGAGCTTGGCCGTCCCTTTCAAGTACTAAGAAAAAAAAACCCGCTTATTATAATTTGGGAGACCCAGAGTGGGAAATTTCTCCATATTAGCCATGGCAGAGCTTCAGGGATGTCATTAGTCATGTCATAGAAGGTGGCAGATAATTACATTAAGTTGGAAATGGGTAGTCTACAATAAATCTTAGGAATTCTCTAAATTGTTTTTTGGTGAAAGGGGAGGGAATTCTGAATTGCTGTAATTCTTCTTGGCTTGAGGGATTTGTTTCCCAAGGATATGTCAAGGACTAAGTAGTGAACCTGCTGTTCTGATAGAATTGTAATTTATTCTCAGAAACTCTGAGACACCTTACTAAATGCAGTCAGGAGGCCAGAGAGGAAACTCTTACAGGGTACCACTCCTTAATCACTATAAGAATTATCAATTATACACTCCCCAACAGAAGAATCCTCAACGGGAAATTACATCCCCCAACAGAAGATGTACATTGCATCTCCTATAAGAAATAGACTTCCCCAGGGGCGCCTGGGTGGCTCAGTTGGTTAAGTGACTGCCTTTGGCTCAGGTCATGATCCTGGAGTCTCAGGATCGAGTCCCACATTGGGCTCCCTGCTCAGCGGGGAGTCTGCTTCTCCCTCTGACCCTCCCCCATCTCATGCTCTCTCTCTCTCTCATTCTCTCTCTCAAATAAATAAATAAAATCTTAAAAAAAATTAAAAAAAAAAGAAATAGACTTCCCCAGCAACTCAGTCAATGAGAAACTATCATCACCCTGAACTCTTCCTTTTCACCAATGGACTCTTGTTCAAAACAACCCCTCCCAACTTTCTCCTTCTCCAAAAAATAATGTTTCTCTCCTTTGTTTGTTGGACTAGTGTATGGTTTTTGCTGTAGGTTGTTTGTCCCAAATTGCAGTTCGCTATTCCCAAATAAACCTTTGTACACTTTCCCTAGCTCCTTCCTTTGCTCCTCCTGGGAGATCGGAAAGTGTGTGTAGCTGACGCACTGCTCAGAGAAAAATGCATTCAATGAGATAAGATAATGAAGGGCAACAAATGTTTTTATTTTTTTTATTTTTTATTTTTTAAAGATTTTATTTATTTATTTGACAGAGAGATAGATAGCGAGAGCAGGAACACAAGCAGGGGGCAGTGGGAGTGGGAGAGGGAGAAGCAGGCCTCCCGCCAAGCAGGGAGCCCGATGTGGGACTCGATCCCAGGACTCTGGGATCACGACCTGAGCCGAAGGCAGACGCTTAACGACTGAGCCACCCAGGCACCCGCAACAAATGTTTTTAAAAACTGCAGTAAAGGGGCGCCTGGGTGGCTCAGTCGGTTAAGCTTCTGCCTTTGGCTCAAGTCATGATCCCAGGGTCCTGGGATCGAGCCTTGAGCCCCTGGGCTCCCTGCTCGGCGGGGAAGCCTGCTTCTCCCTCTCCCACTCCCCCCACCACCCCGCTTGTGTTCCCTCTCTCGCTGTCTCTCTCGCTGTCAAAAAAAATAAATAAAATCTTTAAAAAAAATAAAAACTGCGGTAAAATTTAAACTTACCACTTCAGTCATCTTTAAATGTACAACTCAGCGGCATTCAGTACATTTACAAAGTTGTCCAACTATCCCCACTGTCCATTTCCAAAACTTTTTTATCAACCGAAACAGAAACTCTGTAGGGAAACAAATATTTTTATGAGATCTGGCCAATGTTTTGGTCTCCAAGATCTCTGGAGATGGGAAAGTGTGAGTTTAATTGCAGTAAGACGAGAATGCTGAGTTTGTAATGACACAGTAAAATTCTAAAAAAGTCTCAATCCATAAACTTCCTCTCCATGCCCCAAGGTAACCTCTGAAATGGATGTTCACATTTAGATGCTTAAAAGAACCTCTAGGGAGAAGCAGCCTCCCTTGATATTGAACGTGAATTAACAGAACAAAATTAACTTTCTGGGCACTAATATGATTCCCTTTGGCCTCATCCTATTATTATTGGCCTATTTTGTATATTTCCCACATATGATGACAGAGTTCTAAACACTTTAGCACGAGTGGTAATGAACAATTGTGTTACCTTGGACTTCCTGCTGGCAGCTGAAGCAGGATATGTTCAGCTGCCAACACCTCTGGCTGCACCCAGTTTAATGATTTAATTGGCTTGGATCTGCATGGGGAGCCCGGCTGAAGTATATCCTCCAGGTATCCCTCATCACCCTACTGGGAGTCATGGTCCTGGTCAGTTTTGTCTGAAGTTCCCTAAAAGAACAGAATCAGAGGCACCCGGGTAGCTCAATCAGTTAAGCGTCTGACTCTTGGTTTTGGCTCAGGTCATGATCTCACCATCCTGGAATCGAGCCCCACATCAGGTTCTACACTCAGCACAGAGTCTGCTTCAGGTTCTCTCTCCCTCTCCCTCCTGCTCACTCTTGCTCTCTCTCTCAAATAAATAAATAAATACAATCTTAAAAAAAAGAAAAGAACAGAATCAATTCTGGTATAAGCCCCTATGGGTACAATTAATTACAGTATCTGTGTTAGCCTCCTATTGAGGCTATAACAAGTTACCAGAAACTTAGTAGCTTAAAACAAAACAAATTTATTATCTCATAGTTGTGAAGGTCAGGCATTTGAAATGGGTCTCACTGGGCCAAATTCAGCGTGTCCAGAGGGCTGTGTTTCTTCTGGAGACTCTAGGGGAGAATTCGTTTCCTTAACTTTTCAGCTTCTAGAGGCTGTCTCCATTCCTTGGCTCATAACCATAAATCACTCTGATCACCGCTTCCATTTTCACACTTCTTCCTCTCTGACCCTACTGCCTCCCTCATTCACTTATAAAGATCCCTGTGATTACATTGGGCCCACCTCAATAATTCCCGCATCTCAAGAACCTTAATTTAGCCCCACCTGCATAGTCCCCTTTGGCCTACAAAGTAATACATTCACAGGTTCTGGGGATTAGGACATGGACATCTTTGGCAGGGGCATTATTCTGCCTACCACAAAACAAACAAACAAGCACCATCTAAAAAGAATTCTTAGCTAGATACATGAAAAATCGGGGGCCAGAGTTGTAGAGAAATGACTCTGCTGTGGCCCCCTTGCTACTTTGTATCTATCCACATAGGCCATGCAGGCAAAGGCTTGACCTGTGGCCAATCTGAATGTTGGCAGAATGCCCTGTGATTCTCCCAGAACATGAAAGGATAGAAGGCCTGTAAGGAGCCCCTGTGAGGCCATCTCCCACTCACCTCTCCCAGGAAACTGTCAGAAGACAGTTTCTCATTGCCTCCTAGGTTCTGATGAGGTAAGGGGTTTTTTGCCCTGCCCCTTCAGAAGAGAAATGCAGAATATAAAACTGCTTAGCTGCAGTCTAGATTGGGCTCTTTAGCTATGGGGAGGAGGCACAGTCACAGAGTACAGGTTAAAAAGTTGATGGTCATTTGTGGCTAGTGTTATCTATTTAGTGTAAGGGGATTCGTTCTACTTCCGGGGTATTGGAAGCAGGTCCAAATTTGTTCCACAGTGCCTTTAAGAGAGCACAGCACGGGGATGTCTGGGTAGCTCAGATGGTTAAGCAACTGCCTTTGGCTCAGGTCACGATCTTGGGGTCTTGGGATCGAGCCCCTGTCGGTCTCCCTGCTCAGCGGAGAGTCTGCTTCTCCCTCTCCCTCCTACCCCTGCTCGTGCTCTCTCTCTCTCAAATAAATAAAATATTTAAAAGAGAGAGAGAGCGCGCACAGCATGTGGTCTGTGGGAGAGGATGCCTTTTTCTCCGGTGAAACTTTTATTGAGTAGAACATATTAGCCAAACTTATAATTTCGGCTCAAACGTCATCCATTAAGGCAGTGATATCTGGGAGGGGTGCTCTAATGAAGGGAATAATCATGTTTAACTATAGTCTATGGTCAGCTTCATTTATGCTTAGTGGCTTGCACAGGCTGCACCAGGAACTAAAAGGTGAAATGGCAGGAATCCCGTGTCCCTTCTTTCACTAAGTCAGCGAGGATGGCCTGGACTCCTTCAGCACCTTTCTCAGCCGGTAGTTCCTGCAGCATATTGACCACCTCCACTGATAGAGGAAAGTTAACTAGTTCTCAACGGCTGGTGCCCACCAATAGCAAAAGATTTCAGCTTGTTTCATGAGGTTGGCTCAGCAGGTCCCATTTCAATAATGGAAAAAGGGACTGTCTGGGAGGAACAACCAGGACAGAATTATCTTTTAGCAAAAGTGGGCCAATTTTACTAGTTAAGCTGATAATCATTAATCCTCCTCCCAAGCCATTCATTTCCTGGGGTTGGGGAGAGGGAGTGCTTTCTTGGGGTAGGCCCTTAATCATAGAGATGCTGTGTATTTCCTCCTCCAAGAAAGAGCCTTTCCTTTTTTTGCCTTCCCCTTTGCCTTTGTGTCTTTTAGTACTTTTTGGAAGGTCACTGGCAAAGCAGAGGATAAATCGTCTCAGTTCTTACAGTGGTGACACTGTACTTTTTTTTCTCTTTTCCAGCAGAGGGGACCAGTCATTTTTTTCCAGGATCCTGAATTCTGTCATGTTGCACCTCCCCCAGGAGTTTGGGCTCTTTCCTCCTCTGGGTGGCATCCTGGTAAGAAGCTGTGGTAAGCAGAACCCAACACCCATCTCGTGGTTTAGAACATTCCTTCAGTAAAATAGCCACCTTCTTTGGGCTCCTGGGAAGGGCAGGGATATAAACTTCTTTGACTTTACTTTTTTTTTTTTAAGATTTTATTTATCTGACAGCACAAGCAGAGGGAGAGAGAGGGAGAAGCAGGCTCCCTGCTGAGCAAGGAGTCCGATGTGGGACTCGATTCCAGGACCCTGGGATCATGACCCGGGCTGAAGGCAGCCGCTTAACCGACTGAGCCACCCAGGCGTCCCTACTTTTTTTTTTTTTAAAGCTTTTTATTTATTTATTTGAGAAAGAGCACAAGCAGGGGGAGGGGCAGAGGGAGAAGCAGACTCTGCTGAGCAGGGAGCCCGATGCAGGGCTCGATCCCAGGACCCCAGGACCGTGACCCAAGCCGAAGGCAGACGCCTAACCCACTGAGCCACCAGGCACCCCTTGACTTTAGTTACTTTAAGTAATGTTTTAGCTGGCTGGGCCCAAGAATTGGAGGTCTTGATGTTCCTTTGAGGAGGGGCTGGAATGCCATCCTTGACAGCAGATCTGAGAGGGACTACAGCTAAAGCCTGCTAGCTGCGCTTAGGAGACCTGCCATCTCTGCCTTATGGGCTTATTAACTTGTAGCAATCCCCAGGGACATGGACATCCTCTTGTCTCAGAGTACCCCAAAACACCAGCCTGGTCATAGGGACCTCCTCTTACCACAGCCCATGAAGGGGTCAGGGACTGGTCACCCCTAGCCCTTAAAGCTCCGCTCCCGAAGCCCCGCCCCTTACGCTGTGCGCGGATCAGAAACCGGAAGCAGAAATGAGCTCTTGCGCGTGCGCGAGTTGGCGGCCATCTCTCCGCGATCCCCAACTAGCGTCTGGGCTAGTGTTTTGCCTCAGTTCGGCGCGTCCTTCCCGGCTCGGTCTGACCAGCCCCAGGTCCGGCCTGCGGGAGGGGGAGAGGTCGGCTTTGGGAGGACCGCCGCTCTGGCCGTGTCCCCTGCCCCGCCGGAACCCAGCGCGGGGTACCTGCCCCGGCCGCGGCTCGTCCCAGACTCACTGAATCAGGAGCTCTGGGCTGCGTCCAGCAGCCGGGTTGAGTCGGCTGCAGGCTAGAGTTAGAAAACCACTCTCCTATGTGTAATCGGCCTTCCAAAGCATCCTTTGCTGTCTTTTCGGAAAGTAAAAGCATCCCTGCCATTCGGTCACGGGGACGAGCGCCTCCACCTCGTCTGTACGCTGGTCAGTGGATTTCGGCGTGTTCGGTGAGCACGGGGTGACATTTGCCTCAACTCCGTTCCCATCTCCCCTCCTGGTGCAGGGGGTATTTCATCCGTGAATTTTACCTTGCCTGTGGGCATCAGTTTGATACATTATATTCAGGTACATAAATGTGAACTGATTACTTAGTATCTCTGTAACCCCCTTCATCGTCGAATGCAGCTATAAATTTTAATCATTTATCTGTAGATTATTTTGAATTTCACACCGAGAGTGAGATCGAGTGCCATTTTCAGCGTTTTCTCTTTTATTCTTGTACCTTGTATTCTTTTTTGTTTCTTTAGTGTGTTTGCTAGGACCTCCACTTCAGTGGACAGACAGTACTAGAATAGCATATAATTTACATCCTTGCCTTGTTCCTGATCCCAGAGGGAATTATTCTATCATTTCAGCATTTAAATGGGATGTTTGTGGGGCGCCTGCATGGCTCAGTTAAGTGACTTTTTTTTTTTTTTTAAGAGAGAGCGAGGGGAGGGAGAGACAGAAAAATCTTAAACGGACTCCCCACTAAGTGGGGGAGCCCCACCCCGACCACTGGGACTGGATCTCACAACCCTGAGATCAAGACCTGAAACTGGGGCGCCTGGATGGCTCAGTTGGTTAAACGTCTGCTTTTGGCTCACTCAGGTCATGGATCCAGCCCCGCGTCGGGCTCCCTGCTCAGCAGAGAGTCTGCTTCTCCCTCTGCCTCTCCCCCTGGCTTGTGCTCTCTTTCTCACTCACTCTCTCTCTCAAATAAAATAAAATAAAATAAAATCTTAAAAAAAAAAAAGGACCAGAACCTAAATCAAGAGTACCGCGCTTAACCGACTGAGTACCCAGGTGACCCCAGTCACAATGTCTTGGTCTCAGCTCAGGTCTTGATCACAGGGTCGTGAATTCAAGCTCTGCTAGGCTCTACACTGGGCACTGAGCCTCCTTTAAAAAAAAAAGATGTTTGCTGTAGGTGTTGTAGATGATAATTATTTTTTCCTAATTAAAGTAATTCTCCTCTAGTTCTAATGGGTTAAATGATCAGCAATGGATATTGATATAGATCGGTCACTATTTTGTATCTAAGAGGAAGAGCCATATGATCTTTTAATATTAATGTGATGATTATATTAATTGAGGATTTCATTTTTAACCACCTTTCATTCCTAGGAGGAAATGAACTTGGTTTGTGATTATACCCTCATTATTCAATTCTTGATTGTACTAAAACTTTTTTTTTTTTTAAAGATTTTTATTTATTTGAGAGAGAGCATGAGGGGGGGAGGGTCAGAGGGAGAAGCAGACTCCCCGTTGAGCAGGGAGCCCGATGCAGGACCCGATCCCGGGACTCTAGGATCATGACCTGAGCCGAAGGCAGTCGCTTAACCAACTGAGCCACCCAGGCGACCCTGTAGTAAAACTTTGATATTATTTTGCATTCATATGTGTGATTGAGATCTTTCCTGTTTTGTTTTGAGTTGTCCTTTTTTGGCTTGGAAACGCTCAGGAAAACAGTGTTTTCCATCCCTACAATGGAATTATGAATCCTTTACTTATTGGTGAACTTACATGTGAAACAATTTGTAATTCATATTTCCTTTGTGGGCATGTTTTAAACTACTGTTTTTTTTTTTTTAGGATTGGATGTAGTCAAGTTTTGTATTTATTTTAGATCATTGCCAGAAAGTTGTACTTCTTTCTAGCAATTCATTCAGTATATGTACATTTTCATGTATATTCTCTTAACTTTTTTGTTGTATTCTCCCTTCAACATCTGTGATTATGACTCATTCATAGCTCTTTGTCTATGCTCTGTTGTTAAAATTGCTAAAGCTTTGTTGATTTCATTAGTTTTCAAAGGACACATTGTTCATTTTTATGATTCTTTTTATTTTTTATTCTTTTTATTTTTTAAAAATACTAATTTTGTCCTATTTTCATTTTTCTAAACCTTTATGCTGTTCTTTTTCCATCCTTTAAGTTAATGGTTAGCCCACTTATACTGATTTTATTTTCTCTGGGAGTTGATGATATTCATATAAATATGTAAATATATGTACCACACCAACTGTGGATTTCCAGTGTTATCTGAGACACTTCTTTTAATTTTCTGCTTCTTCCCGGCCACAAAAGTAGTCCTAACTGGCTAAACATAAATGTGTATGTGCCTGTTTATCCCTGTAATGTGCTGCATTATTATGTAGCATATACCACACCTGATACATTTTGTTCATTTACTGCCGTCCCTCAAATGATTATAACATCCATGTCCTTCAGGATTTTTCTGTATTGTTCAGTGCTATATCCCCTGTGACTGTATGTAGTGGGATTGGGGTAAATATTACCTAAGTAAATATGAAATGAAGAAATAAGAGGTAGGGGCCTTAAGGGAAGTGTCCTTGCTCAAAAAAGGGGGCTTAGAGGCACTTGGGTGGCTCAGTCATTAAGCATCTGCCTTCGGCTCAGGTCATGATCCCAGGGTCCTGGGATCGAGCCCCGCATCGGGCTCCCTGCTCCGTGGGGAGTCTGCTTCTCCCTCCCCCACCCCCCCTCTCTCGCCATGTCTCTCTGTCAACTAAATAAATAAAATCTTTAAAAAGGCGGGGGGGCTTAGTCAAGAGGAGCTCAAAGATAAAACATTTATTTATTTATAAGAGGAATTTATTTATTTATTTATTTATTTATTTCTCTTTCTCTCTCTCTCTCTCTCTCTCTCTCTCCAGAGAGGAGCACAGGGAGAGGGACAAACAGACTTTGTACTGAGCACAGAGCCTGATGCAGGGCTTGATCCCTTGACCCTGAGATCATGACCTGAGCTGAAATCAAGAGCCAGATACTTAACCAACTGAGCCACCCAGGCACCCCAAGATAAAACATTTAAATAGAATACTTCATTTGCCTACTTTCCATAGTGCACAGCAGGGTTCTAGGCTAGAATCTGGTAATGTTAATAATAAGAGCCTCACTAACAACTAAATTGTAAGGTATATGTTCAGAAATACACTCATTGGGAGTTTAGGCTTTGAAGACAAACAGGCCTGCATTCACACATCTGTCTATGTATTACACCCTGTGTTACATACATCTCAGCAGCTTTCTGACTGGGTAACATTGAGTGTATGGTTAATTGATTCTCAGATTTCTCAACTATAAACTGGTTGTAATAATACCTGATTTGCAGAGCTTCTATGAAAGAAAAGCTTTTTGCAAGATCATTCTCACATCATGGTTGCTTAAATGGCACATTATTAATTTAGTAAAGAATGTTGTGATTTTTTCAGTTTTAAAATATACTACTTGATCCACTGCATGGAAAAAACTTGTATTTTCATTATTTTAAAGTTACGTAATAGAGCTGCAGATATTACTATCGGAGATGACATGTTGCTAAGTTCACTTCAGGTATTCTTGTCCTGCTCTTCTGCACTGTGTAGGCACAATTTAGGACAAGAGTCACAGCATGGCAGTCTTCCCTGCCTCCTACATGTGGAATTCAGTCTGTTGATGCTTTTTCGCAAAAATCAAGTTTCAGAGGCCCTGCAGCCCATGGAGGGGAGGGTTCAGTGGTCAGGGGCTGAGCAGTAATTCCTGTTAGCTGCCAGTGGTGCAGAAGTAAGAAATACTGGGAGTGGAGCCCCCAGAAGTTGCATCTATAAATGCTTTTTTTGGATCTGACACAGTGTCAAAGTTATGGTTGAAGGCATTGTCTGCTGTTTTTTGTTTTCCTTATCATGGGAAAACTGACACCTAAACTTTTTTAGATTTCAATTATCTTAGAACATGGGACTTTTAACCTTTTTTAACCTTTTATTTATTTATTTTTTTAATTAGCAAGGACCCCAGCAATGTTTTTTTAGCTCTAGAGGAGATAAGATTACTCCACCTCCTTACAGGATCAGTGTGTATTTGGTTGGGTGTCTTGGGGGTATGCTTTATATGTGTGTGTGTGTGTGTGTGTGTGTGTTTTGAGGGGAGTGGTCCCTCATAACGGATATGCTGCAGCATCCAGGCTCATGAGTTGTGGAAATTGTGGGGAGACCTGGATTCTCGTGTTTTCTTTCTCCTGCCTCAGCTCTAATTTCTCAGTACTCTTGACTTTCTTCATGAAGGGAATATGGAAGAAGAAAGAAAAGTTGCAGAGTTACAGAAAAATATGACACAGGTAAGTAGGCGCTAATAATTCTCCAAAAGAATTTTCCATTCCACCAGGTCCTTGACCTCCTAATTGTTTAGAGCAGTTGTTGGCGATCTATTTCTCTATTGGGCCACATTGTAAGTGTCTTAAGCATTGAAGGCTATAGAGTTTCTATTGCAATTAAACCACCAATTTAGTTTGAAAGCAGCCACAGACAGTACATAAACAAATGTTTTATTGTGTTCCAATAAAACTTTACCTAAGCAAGTTGTAGGCTGGATTTAGCCCATGTGCTATAGTTTGCTGACCCCTGGCCTAGAATACAGTATGGCCAGCTGTGGGCCTGAGGTGAAAGTTATATTTCTGCAAGCTCCTGGGCCTCAGGTTTGTGGGAAGATAAATAAGTAAGTAAGTAAATAAATAAATAAAAAGAAAGAAAGAAAGAAAGGAAAGCTCCTTATTCCTCAAGTGTGTTTTTATGCATTTAAACCTCACTTGGATTTGACCCAGTCTTTCATGTTGTGCTGAGTGCTGTGGTGGGAAAGAAAGAAGCAGGTGAAATTGTTTGTGTAACAAGGAATTGCTGGTGTCAGTGTGGAAATTATCTCATCTCTAGAGCATTTCTGTCATTTCTGCTATAGGCTCTGGACTGTCCTGGATCATAAGACTGGAAATGGTCACCATCAAACTGTGCGAGAGATAAATTTGGTGTTTTAGAAGTGTGGTTAGATACATGAGACTGGATGGGGGTCAGTTAGGAAGGATGTAATGGGTAGATGTTGGGAGACCATAAACTCTTCAGAACTTCCTCTGAATTGATTCTCAGTTCCCCAGTATTAGCAACCTCATCAATCTTCCTGCACACATGGGGAGAGTGAGCACCTTTTTGAAAAGAATATATGTGGGATGTTTTAGGACTCTGTGGTCTTTGAGGATGTGGCTGTGGACTTCACCCAGGAGGAGTGGGCTCTGCTGGATTTTGCTCAGAGGAGCCTCTACAGAGATGTGATGCTGGAAAACTTTCAGAACCTGGCCTCCCTAGGTAAGAATGGCAACATTCCTTCATTTAGTTGTTTAGAAAACAATTTTACTAATTGACCTTGTTCTAGGATTTAGGCTGAGGAATTGGAATGAATTGGTAAATAAGACCGACACGGTCACAGACCCCAAGGAACTTTAAGTCTAGTGGCTTTACCATGAAAATAAACATCTGTGTAGTGAACTGCCTTTTTCTTTTTCTTGTGGTTAAAAGCCTTGAGGCTTATTAAGTGTTAAAAGTGCTGGCATAGACCTCAGGGGTCACTTTGGGCCTTTGTGGTTTGGGTCCTTATGAGAATTTTAATGATGTCAATGGTCTTTACTCAGAAACATACATGTAAACAAGGCGGGGGGGTCATTACTCAGTGCAGGGAGGGAGAACATATGACATGGGGAGCTGTGGTGTGTCTCAGAAAGAAGGTGTTAAAAAGTACATATTACAGGGTTTGTACTTTGGGTGAGTGATTTGGGGATGGTCTATGGAAGTAGGCTGTATTGGTTTTCTAGGCCTTTCATAACAAAGTACCACAAACTGTGGCTAAAAACAACAGAAACTTATTTTTTCACATTTCTGGAGACTGGAAGTACAAACAAGGTGTCAGTAGGACCATGCTCCTTCTGAAGGCTCTATGGGAGAAATCTCTCCTTGTCTCTTCCTAGCCTCTGGTGGTTGCCAGCAATACTTGGCGTTTCTTGGTTTGCAGTGATATCATTCTTTTTTTTTTTTTTTAAGATTTTATTTTTAGGTGATCTCTACACCCAACATGGGGCTAGAACCCACAACCCTGAGATCAGGAGTCGCATGCTCTACCGACTGAGCCAGCCAGGTGTCCCATGCAGCTAGATCATTCTAATCTTTGCCTTTGTCCTCACATGGCCTTTTCCCCTTTGTCTCTATGCCCCTCCTTATAAGGACACTAATCAATGGATTTAAGACCCACCCTAATCCAGTATAACTCCATCTTTACTTGATTATGGCTACAAAGACCCTATTTCCAAATAAAGTAACATTCTGAGCTTTCAAGTGGACATGACATTTTGTTTTGACACACTTTTTTTTAGAGCAGTTGTAGATTCACAGCAGATGTGAGTGGTAGATACAGAGACTTCTCATGTATGCCCTGCTCCTACATAGGTAGAGCCTCTTCCACTATCAACATCTCCTACCAGAGTGGTGCATTTGTTACAATTGATGAACCTGAATCGACACATCATCATCACCCTGAGTCCATAGTTTATACATTAGGATTCACTCTTGGTGAAGTCATTCAACACAGAATACATTCTGTGGCTTGGGCAAATATGTAGTGGTATACATCATTATAGTATCATTTAGAGTAATTTCACTGTCCTAAAAATCCTCTTTGCCTCATCAGTTCATCTCCTTCCTCGCTAACCTGTGGCAACCACTGATCTTTTTACTGTCCCCATAGTTTTGGCTTTTCTAGAATATCATGTAGTTGGAATCATATGGTATATAGCTTTTTCAGTGGTTTCTTTCACTTAGTAATATGCATTTATGCTTCTTTAATGTCTTTATGTGGCTTGATAATTCATTTCTTTTTAATTCAGAATAGTATTTCATTGTCTGGGTGTACCGCAGTTTTATTCATCCATTCACCCTCTGAAGGACATCTTAATTCTTTCTAATTTTGGGCAGTTGTGAATAAAGCTGCAGTAAAACATGCATGTGCAGGTTTTTGTGTGGACATGTTTTCAGCTCCTCTGGGTAAATTCCAGGGAGTGTGATTGCCTGATCATATGGTAAGATTAGTTTTGTGAGAAGTTGCCAAACTGTCTTCCAGAGTGCTGTACCATTTCACATTCCCCCCAGCAGTGAATGAGAGTTCCTGTTCTACAGCCTTGCCAGCATTTGTTGGTGTCAGTGTTCTGGATTTTAGCTGCTCTCATAGGTGTGTGGCGGTTTCTCATTGTTTTAATCTGCATTTCCCTGATGACATATAGGACTATCTCTTCATATGGTGTTTTCCTTGAGGAATTTCCTTGTTTTGCATTTTACATTTAGGTCTTTGATCCATGTGATCCATTTTGGGTTGATTTTTGTGAAGAGTGTAAAAGTCTGTGTCTAGATTAATTTTCTTGCATGTTGATGGCTAGTTGTTTCGGTCTCTGTTGAAAAGACTTCTTCACGTATTGTCTTTGATCCTTTGTCAAAGATCAGCTGACTATGTTTATGTAGGTCTGTTTCTGGGCTCTCTATTCTGTTTCATTGATCTGTTTGGACATATATTTTCAAGGGACACTGTTCGACCCAGTCCAGGTGGTCACTTTAGATTGGATGCTGATAAAAAGAGGTAGAAATTTTATTATTGAGTATTTTATGGGTGGCACAGTAACTTTTTTGGGGGGGGGTCATCCTTAGATTAAATTATGTAGTGGCCTTATTTTGTTTAATTTTATCATGGTCTCAGAGTAATCTTGTTTAAGATTGGTATTCTGTGAGATTATTAATGTGCAATAGGAGAACAAAATGTCCTGGCTATATCAGACCAGCTTCTAATATTAATATTGAAGTTTAGATAATGAATATCACATCAGTTCTAGAAATCAGAGGCTGTGTCATTGTCTTTGTCATTGTCTACTCCCCCATCCTGCTCCTGCTTTAAAAAAACTTTTGACAAACATTTTGTAGAAATTCAATTTGCTCTTGCCCATAATTACAGTATCAGAAGGGCAAAATTTTGACCCTGTCTCATGGAAATGTTTATGGTTCCTCATTATTTTCCGTCATGATAAGCCTTTCTGCATTAACAGGGTATCCACTGCAGACACCATATCTGATCTCCCAGTGGAAACAAGAGGAGGACCTGGAGACAGTGGAAAGAGGACCTATCCAGGGGGAGCACCAGGAAGGCAAGAAACCTTGGGAGAAACTGTCCTGGTTGGGGGATATTACGTTTGGAAAAATCAAATAAAAGCAAAACAAAACTTTGTTTTGTTTGAGGGGTGTGATCTTCTAGATACCTTAGATTACTATTTTGACTTTTTATCAGTATTCTCACGCTTTCCTTGTTCTTGGGAAAGATGGTCCATATTTCTTCTTGTAAGTTAGTATTTGGTCATTTGCATTTAGGAAGGAACTGGTTCCTTTTTGTTTTGTTTTCCTTTTTAAGTTTTATTTAAGCAATCTCTACAACCCACATAGGGCTCAAACTCATGACCCCAAGATCAAGAGTTGCATTCTCTTCTGACTGAGCCAGCCAGGTGCCCTTTGTTCTAATAATAATACTTTATTTGTGTTACTATCAGTCTCAGTCTTCATGGAATTATTTCTTGCTTACCATTTTGACCCTTGTGTATATTACCAAAGTCCTGAAACAGCTACGTTGCCAGAAGTCCTTTTCCTTATAGGTGCCTCTGTTTTTCTGTTTCAGGTTTTGAGATTCAACTTAAAACTAATGAATCAGTAGCTCCACAAGATATTTATGGACAAAGAATATCCAGTGAACAGAAAATAGTAAGATTCAAAAGGAATGATTCTTGCTCATCCATTTTACACAAAAACTGGGAATACCATGGTATTTGTTATCAGAACAAAAACCATGAGAGACATTTGAGGTGAGTGCCATTCAAAAAAGAAAAAGTCATGCCTTGGGAGAGAATCTTAAAATGTCATAAAACTTAAAAAATGTGTACCTAGAACTTGGTCAAAAATTGTGATTTCATAAAGAATTTTTCCAAGATTTTTTTTCCCCCCAAAAATGACATTGAGATCTTCAATGTTTGAAACATAGTTCAATTATAAGCAATTACCAGAAAAATTGTATGTCAAAAAAACCTCAGTGATAATATTGGCTATTGTAGACCCTTCTGTGAGGACTTTGAACTTGTAACTTGACCGGGCAGAAAATGTAGTCACTGAAAATGATAAAATTATATTTATTACTAATAATGTGCTTTTATTTTTAAAAGAAGTCCAGTTGTGGAGAACATCTATGAATGTAATGAAGAAAATCGGTGTGGACAAGACTTCAGCCAAATTTCACATCTTAATATACTCAAGAGAACTACTGAAGTGAAGTCCTATGAATGCCATGAGTGTAAAATGGCCTTCACGGATCATTTATCCCTTAAGAATCACATCAGGTCTCACACTGGAAGCAAACCCTATCAGTGTAAAGAATGTGGGAAAGCTTTCCATTTTCTTGCTTGTTTTAAGAAGCATGTGAAAAATCCCACTGAAGGGAAACCTTATGAATGTAAAGAATGTACAAAAACCTTCGGTTGTTCTTCCTTCTTTAGGGCACATATGAAGATTCACACTGGAAAGATAAGCTATGAATGTAAGGAATGTGGAAAAACCTTTAGCTGTTCTTCATCCCTGACAGAACACAAAAGGATTCACAGTGGAGATAAGCCTTATGAATGTAGGGAATGTGGGAAGGCATTTAGTTGTTCTTCCTCACTCTCCAAACACAAAAGAATTCACAGTGGAGATAAGCCATATGAATGTAAGGAATGTGGGAAAGCCTTTAGTTCTTCCTCTCACCTTATAATACATATAAGAATTCATACTGGAGAGAAGCCTTACGAATGTAAAGAGTGTGGGAAGGCCTTCAGCGAGTCCTCAAAACTCACTGTACACGTCAGAACACACACAGGAGAGAAACCCTATAAATGTAAGGAATGTGGGAAAGCCTACAATTGTCCCTCCTCCTTAAGTATCCATATGAGAAAACACACTGGAGAGAAACCCTATGAATGCCTGGAATGTGGAAAAGCCTTCTATCTTCCCACTTCCCTTAATACGCATGTGAAAAATCAAAGTAGAGAGAAACCCTATGAATGTAAGGAATGTGGAAAAGCCTTTAGTTGTCCCTCATCCTTCAGAGCACACGTGAGAGATCACACTGGAAAGATACAATATGAATGTAAGGAATGTGGGAAGGCCTTTAGCCGTTCCTCATCCCTCACTGAACACTTAAGAACTCACACTGGAGAGAAGCCTTATGAATGTAAAGAATGTGGGAAAGCCTTTATTAGTTCCTCCCATCTTACAGTACATATAAGAACTCACACTGGAGAGAAACCTTATGAATGTAAGAAATGTGGCAAAGCCTTTATTTATCCCTCAGCTCTGAGGATCCACATGAGAACACATACTGGGGAGAAACCTTATGAATGTAAGGATTGTGGGAAAGCCTTTCGTCATTCTTCATACCTTACTGTCCATGTGAGGACGCACACTGGCGAGAAACCCTTCGAATGTCTGGAATGTGGGAAAGCCTTCAGTTGTCCCTCATCCTTTCGAAGACACGTAAGAAGCCACACTGGAGAGAAACCATATGAATGTAAGGAATGTGGGAAAGCCTTTGTGTGTCCTGCCTACTTTCGAAGACATGTGAAAACTCACACTAGGGAAAACGTATAAATGCTGTGAAATGTGGAAGCGTCTGCAAGGCGTTTTCACCTCATAGCATATCTGGAACGTTGTGGAGATGGGCCATGAATGTAAGAAAGCAAGAAAGTGTTGCTTATCTGTTTGAGGACTTGAGAACTCACAGCTAAGAGAAGCCTATGTCCATACACCTTGTGGGAATGCCTTTGTGAATGTCACTTCCGGCGTGTAAGAAAATTCACACGAGAAGCACAGATCAGGGCCTCACCTGTAAAGTGGACTGCTGGCTCACTGATACTCGGTTTCTGTTTTCTGATACGAATATTTAAGGTGATAAATTTTCCTCTAATACCTTTTCAGCTCTAACCACATTTTATTATAGGTACTTTTATTTTGGCCGAGATGTAAATGTTCTTTACGTTACAAAATCTTCTGGACCCATAGGGGATTCAAGGTGTTTTTCAAATGCAGGCAGGAGTGGTCCTTTTTTTTTTTTAATTAGTATCTAATTAATACTCATTGTTCTCCAGGTGTGCAGTATCACACCTGTTATGGTATCAACACTTTGGTATTTGTAATTTCTTTTGTAATTTTTTCCTTGTAATTGGTCATTTCATTTTGATCTAGTTATGGCAGGTACTGGAAATTGCCTACCCAATTTTTTTCCTTTTATTTTTTTAAGTAAAAGAACCTAAAGTTTTTGAGGTTATCAGTTTTTATTATTAGAAGCTTTTTCTGTCTAATAAGCCATTTCAACAGAAATTAATAAGGGCAAGTTCTCAAAAGAAGAGTCGCATCTAATACGTTGTTTTTGTGTTTTCTCTGTCCTTGCTCATGGCTAGGAATTGGACACAGTGTTTTGAGTTTAAAAAGGGACCTTCTGACAAGAAAGCTAGAAGTAGAGTTGGTTCAGCTGGCTTGTGTGTGTTAATTTGGACATGGTTGGGACTCCATTTCTCAGAATCATTTCCCTATCCAGTCCCAGGTTAGAGTTGTCTGAAACAGAGTTTGCATGAGAATTGGAAGGCAGCGGGAAGAAGCTATTATTCTTCATTTAGTGGGGCCATAGGATGGAGACAGATACATAGGGGCATGGTGAGCTTCAGTGTCCGGCTCATTTTCCTGATGATCAGACCCACCAATCAATACTAGCTTGAAACAGAACATTAAATGCTTTTACTTCAGTAAAGTCAGAGGCAGCAGCTCCATAGACCTTTCCATAAGTTCCTCCATCACGGTCATACACAGCTTCTTAGGTTTTCTGGCAAGTTCCAGCATTGTCCTTTTGCTGATCTGACAGTCCCTCTGGCACATCAGCTGGCTCTATAGAGGTGGCCCCATTTTGGAGCAGGATTGTTATCTGTGTAGTGTAATCCCATCACATCACTTTGCTCAAGGGGAAAGACATCTGTGCAAGTCCACTGGCATCTCCAGCAAGAAGGGCTGTGGGCAGTAAGGAAAATTAGGTATAAGTGAGGTAAGCATCAGACAGGGCATCATCCTATTTTAGTGGAGGAAGATTTATATTGACACCTTCAGATTTTTCTTCTTTTTTATTTGAGAAAGATGAAAGTTCTTTGGTTTGTGCTTCTTCAGGTACATCTGGCTACACTTTTCCCTTCCATTATATTTCCCCTTTATTTCAAAAGTAGACCTATGCCACTTTCCCTTCATCATTTTCTGCTGTTTTAGTAAAGCATATATATGCTACTGTGCACGACATGTGCTAATTTTAAGTGTACAGCTTGATGAAATTTCACTTGTACATACCCTGATAAACAGAACATTCCCAGGATTCCAGAAAGTTTATTTATCTGCCTTCTCAATAATTGCTCCACGGAGGAAACCACAATTTGACTTTTATTCAGTTTATTAGGTTTGCTTCTTCTTGATCTTCTTGATCTTTATGTAAGTGCTTAAATACAATATGTACAATTATATGTTTGACTTCTTTTCTCAGCATGATGTCTAGTTTGCCTTTTAATTGCTCCTTTTACTGACTTATTTTTCTTGGTATATGTTTTGTTTGTAGGAATGGGATCACTGACTCAGAGGGTAGACTTTGGCTTTAGTTTTAATAGGTATTCCAGTTTTTCAAAAAGGTGGATTCCACCTATCATCCTAAAAGCAATGCATGCAAATTCCAGTTGTTCCACCTAGTTGTCCAGCCCTTTCTAATCTTAGGCATCCAGCAGAGGACATGGTAATATCCTGCTTTGGTTTCAGTTTGCAGTTACCTGATATGTAGTGATGGTAAATGCTTTTTTATGTGCTTATTGGCTATTTGGATATCTTTTATGAGGGCACCCTGTTGAAGCATTTCACCCATTTTTGGTTCCTTTTTTATTTGAAGGGTTTTCTTCTAGTTACTATCTTCTATTGTATGTATGTGTATCTCTGTGTCTAGTTACATACACATAAATAAAACCATGTGTTATATATCATGTATTCATAACTTAACATAGATTATATATACATATATTGCAGATAACTTTTCCCTGTCTCTGGCTTGTTTTTTCACTCTTCTCATATGTATAAGCTATAAAGGGAATTTATTGGTTTGATTATTGAAGAAGTCCTTTGGGGATGGCTGGGATCCTGGGGCTAAAAAGCTGTTATCTGGATGAGTTCAGTGTCTGTATCTTGGCTCTGTATCTTCTTACATTTAGCTATTCTTCCTGGCAGGCTATTTCTCTCTACCATAGTTCCCACAAGATCCAGGCTGCTTTCTTTCTAGGTTGAAGTCTCAGGAAGAAAAGAGCGATGGTCTTTTTGAACAACTCCAATATGATCATTATAATAGAATCTGATTGGCTCACTTGCTAATAGTTATCTAATCACTGTGGCCAAAGGAATGTAATACTCTGATTTGCTTAGGACTGGCTCCTGTGTTCATCCAGAAACCAGAGTAGGGTTTGCACCAACTGAGTCAGAGTGTGATGTGTACGGAGAGGGGAGGAGGCAGCAGGGGGCAAGTGGGGTAATATTGTCAGCTAGCATGTTGTGCTTACTAGGGTCTTAGCAACAGGAGGGAACTGAAGTCTGGTAACTCACCAGGGGCTGAGTAGTTCTGGAAATCCTTTCAGAAAGGTTAGATGCCATCTGTTAACATATCTTCAGATTGCTAAAGGTGGCTTCTCAACCTTTATGTTGCTTTGCGGTACATTTAGAAATCTGGTAGTGAGAGACTTAAAACATTTTTATTCTTTAAGATTGTCCTGCCTTCTCTATTCCTCATTTGTTTCTATATTATTTTTAGAACTTCCTTATCAGTTTTCACAAATATGCTGAGAGTGTGTTTGGAATTGCATTGACGATGCCATTACCTGAATGAAATTGACATCTTTACAAGATTGAGTCTTCCAATTAAACATAATATAGTCATCCATTTACCTAGGTTGTCTTTAATTTCTCTCAACAGTGTTTTGTAATTTAATTATAGAGGACTTGAATATCTTTGTTTAATTTATTTCTAGGTATGTGGTATGTTTTGCTTTGTAAATATATTTCCTGTTTAATTTTTTAGCTAGCATGAATTGTGATTTCTTTTTGTACATTGATCTTTTTATCCAGTGACATTTATAAATTAAATTATTATTACTTGAATTATTCAAATAGTTTGTGGATTATTTTGGATTTTCTGTGTATAATCCTGTCAATAACAAAAGGAATTCTTACTTGATTTCTAAACTTTATCTTTTTTTTTTTTTTTTTGCCTCATTGCTTTACAGTGATGAATAGAAATGGTGAATATGAACATCTTTGCTCTGTTCCTGATCTTAGGGGGAAATGTTCAATATTTCATAAGTATAATAATAGCTGTAAGTTTTTCATAGATTACTTTTAAAAATGAAGAGAATTGTTTTATTCCCAGTTTGCCAAGTTTTTTTTTTATTATTATTGTGAGTGAATATTTTATCCAGTGCCTTCTCTGCATGTATCATGGTCTTAAAAAAAAATCCTTCAGTTTGTTAATGTGAATTATTACATTCCTTGATTTTCAGATGGTAAAACATGTCTTCCTGGAATAAACCACACTTGGACATGGTATATATTGGCTAATTAGCCTTCTTATTTTGCTAGATTAAGTATATGACTTTAAAAAAATTATTTCTGTGTCTGTTAATTAGAGGTTTGTCTTGTAATTTCTTGTCACGTACTTGTCTGTGTTTTGTGTCAAGTTTATATTGCCCCATAAAAGGAGTTGGAAACTGTTATGAAAGACTTTCTATAAAATTTGAACGAGTTAGTCCTTATATGTTTGGAACAATTCACCAGTGAATCTGTCTTAGGGGTTTTCTTCACAGAAATCTTTTGTAAGATAGTTTCACTGGTGAAACTATATATATAGATAGATTATTCAGGTTTTTTTATTTGTTCTTGTGTTAGTTTTGCTAAATTGTATCTGTCCATTCCATAACTTTTCAAACGTGTTGGCATAAATTTTATTCACAATATCCTGTAATTCCCTTTTAATGTCTGAAAACTCATTATATCCCCTTTTCATTTCTGATATTGGTAATATATATGTTCTCTTCATCCTATTAGGGATTTAGATATATTAATTTTTTCCAAGAACCAACTTTATTCTGCCTTCTGATTATTTAATTTTTGGTTTTATTCCCTTCTATTCTATTGGGTTTAATTTAATTCTAGCTTTTGAGGTAGATGCTTATATCAGTGCCTGTCTCCTGCTATGCCCAGTCTGCTTATAAACCTTTCCAATCAGAACTTTCTACCATTCACATTATCAGTAGCAATGTGCTCAAGATATATGCAGAAAAATACTGTTTATGTGCCTGTTGTCTTAAGGTCACAGGGCTTCCTTGGTGGAATGGGAAGAAAACTGGACTGGGAGTCAAGACACCTGATGGTTTTCACTTTCCAACTCTACCTCTGTGATTTTAGAAAAGTCACTTAAGCCTTCTGGTCCTGAGTTTGTGTGTGTATGTGTGTTTAATTTTTTTTTTAATGAAATAATTATAGATTCACAGTAATCTGTGAAAACATATGTATGGGGAAATTCCATGTATCCATCACTCAGTGTTCCCCAGTGGAAATCCAAGAGCTTATTCAAATTTTGCCAGTTTGAGATGCGTGTGTGTGTGTGTGTGTGTTTCTTTGCAGTTTGAACATGTGTAGATGAATGGACCTACTACC